GAGTCAAAAGAGGGATCAGCCTAGAATCCCTAAGTAGCCACAGGAAAAACTTGGTCCAACCTCCCTCGAGTGCCATGGACCCTAATTTAATTCTAAGCAGGGGCCACCAGTCATTGAGAAGGTTCCTGTGCAGAGGCATGAGTAGCAATAAATCAATTAATCAAGCTTTCACATGTGGCCCTGGCCTTCCATGTTCGAAAGAAGCCCCCCACTCACCCAGTTTGTGCTCCTGTAAAATCATCCAGACTTTATAAAGACTCACTTGAGGAGTGCCAGCAGCTCAACCCTTTATGCCAGCCAGTCCTCTTCTCACTCTCAGGTTGGCAGCTACAAGCACAATAAGCAGCGGCAGCTGGGAATTCTGCCTGCTGACCCTCACAACACCAACATCACCCTTGGTATTCCCAAAGTTAACCACATGACTTCCAGGTAAGGCTATAATTGGCACTTCATGTTCCAACTCAGTATCTTGAATTAAGGACACCACCTGGTTTCCCTGGAAGAGCCTAGACTGAAGGGTCCCAAAGGGGCTTTTTTTTCAGGAGGCAAATGGACTTTCTGGTTTTTCTTTGAAGACGTTTAAATTCTCATCCAAGAAGCTTCTTCAGCTTCAGTCGAGGCAGAACTATTACATCACACATTTTGCTTGACCAGGGAAAGTCCTGGAGCCAGCCTCTCTCAGAGCAGACTTCTTTGAAGATATTTCACTTCTCATTCAAGAAGCTTCTTCCCATCCAAAAAACTGAAGAAGCTTCTTGGATGAGAAGAGAAATGTCTTCCAAGAAAAACCAGGAAGTCCAGTTGTCTCTTGAAAAAAGCACCTTTGGGACAACCATGACCTGGATGGCTGAGAACCTCCGTGGACATTTAGACTGAAGGGCCCACTGGATAAAGACTGCCTCTAATTGTTGCTGCACTTATTCATAAAACCCCATTTCCCAGGTGTCTCTTTCAACACCCTCAAGACAGAGGGACAGAAGCAATTCTGACACACAAACACACAGAGATACATTTTTAATCTAAGAAAGGCAATCTTAACCAGAGATCCTGGCCTGCACGTCCTCCCGCAGCCACATTAGAAAACATTTTGGCCAGCTGCTTTCCATGGAAGCTGTGTGCCCCTGACTGTTGCTGTATGATGCTCCCAAGGCAAAAGGATCGGAGGATGCTTTTCCAGATGTTGGCAACCCTCCTGCCAACAGCACCACTCCTGAGTATGAGGTCACATCCACGCCTGCTCTCGGCCTTTCATCTCCCACATCTGGATTTCTGGCACGCAGCAGAAGCACAAAGAAGAAAACCAGCCTTGTTCCTCTTCATTCCACTCCGTTTTCAAGCTGGCCTGAATGTAGCAAAGGCAGCTTATGCAAATGGCACGAGATTTACTTCCGATGCCCACCACCTGCCTCGGATCAAACACTACTGCTCTCTTCAGGGCGATGCCAAAGGCTGGAACTCTGCTTGGGGGAGCGGGGTCCCTCCGAAAGCAGCATCCGCTCGTTCCCCTGCAGAAGAACCACCAAGTGGAGAGGGTCCCCGGCTGACCACTGCAGCAGCCCCTTGTACCTCTGGCCAGAATCATTGCAAAATCCCAGGATTCGGTGGGAATCCACCGAAGCAGTGCAGCCATGGCGTGGGGAAACAATGCTCAACCAGGGGAGGAAAAGTGCCACATGACCAACTTCCAAAGCCAAAGGGCCTTTCTCTTGCAACCGCTGCTTTTCTTTTCTCCCTCCCTGCAAAATCTGGCAGACAAAGACCCATGATGCAACCCGACTTCACTGGTGGAAAGTCATCGCAGAACTATTACGTCATACATTTTGCTTGATCGGGGAAAGGCCCGGAGCCAGGCTGCTGCGCTGCGAGGGGGGGAGACTTCTTGCAGCAAAGCAGCCCCCAGGCTCAACCCCAATGCATTTGGGAGACTTGCTGGCCGGCCTTGAGCCAGGCACTTCAGGGCCGGGTGGGGCCGTCCTTCCATTCCAAAAGAGCACTCACCAACTCCAGAATAAACAACTTCTGGCTCTCTGAAATCTCTGGTGTGAATTGTATAATGCAAAATGGATCCCGACATCCACTCCAGAACGAATTCCTTCTCCAAGGTTTTCCAGATCCAGCCAGAGGCCTCCAAGGAGGCCAAGGGGCAAGAATGTCATGGCAGGAAAAACCCAGCATTGAAAAGAGAGAGAGGGAGAGAGAGAGAGAGAGAGAGAGAGAGAGAGAGAGAGAGAGAGAGAGAGAGAGAGAGAGAGAGAGAGGAGCGCAGCCAAGTGTTCGTCCCGCCCATCCCTTCCAGATCCTCGCCTGATCCCTTCCCGGGCCATCAGCCCTGGAAGCTGGGATCCCTGCCCAACTTTGATCCAGGATGAAATCTGTTACTGTCTCTCATTCGCTGCCACAGGCGCAGCCAACGATAACCTCCTGAAGGCAGAGGAAGACAGGATGAGGCCTGGCACATTAAACAGCTCCTGATGGCCCTTGTTAGAAGGCAGCTGTGGTTCATCAGCAGGCCAAGATGGAAGGAGGCCTGTTGCCCAACCCAAGCCCCGAGAGCCTCGGACCTCCTCCTGTCAGGGCTGATAGTGCAATTGCCTCCCCTCCTCACTTCATCATAGTGACTGATTGATGACATCTGAACCGGTACAAGGTATCCTTCCTGAGCAGGGGGTTGGACTAGAAGACCTCCAAGGTCCCTTCCAGCTCTCTTCTATTCTACTACCCTGTTTCCCCCAAAATAAGACCTAACTGGAAAATAAGTCCTAGCGTGGTTTTTTCAGGATGCTCATAATATAAGCCCTACCACCCCAAAATAAGCCCCAGCCAGATGAATGCATTTAGTGCCATGTTTCCCGAAAATAAGACCTAATGAAAATAACCCCTAATGCATCTTTTAGAGCAAAAATTAATATAAGACCCAGTCTTACTTCGGTAATACATTCATCTCTCAACAAAGTGGATTTCCATTAGCCAAATCCACATGACATGCAAAGTAATGGATTCAAGAGCTCATCACACACAAAAGGGGGCTTCCCGAAGTTAAGTCAAGGACTGCTAGGGAAGGAGATCCCAATATTTTTTAAAGGCTCCTGCAAGCATGACATCTGAGCTCAGGCTTCTGAGCTGAGTAATCCCAATGAAATCATCGGGGGATGTCACACAAATCCTCTTTCCTTTTGAAGGGGGCAATCACAGTACCACCAAGCGCTGGAAGGGGTGCCAATGCTCCCACCGGCAACCCTGTGATCCCCAAACGGTGCAGCAGGGGGAGAGGCTGGACATGCTCAGATACTCCCTACTTGACCTTGGTACTTAGCTGGCGCCTCCAGATTTCCCTGAACAGCTGCACACCTGAACCCACCTGGAGGGTCTTATCAGTTTGTGATGAGGCAGAGAATAGCCATGGGGGGGGAGGTGTCCATAGGTTATGGCAACTGCGTCCCTACCCTTCCAGAAAGCTAACACCTGGCAGTCCTTGGCCTAAAGAACAGCATAAAAGCACCGAATTCCTTTCAAAGATGTCCTTTTCTTGGTAAGCATTTCTTTTATCACCAACTCTAAATAATTAATGCACACTCAGACGGAAAACTCTGATTCAAATGAAACTGTCTCTATATTAAAGAAGCATTCACTGCAACACTTAATGGCAAAGTTCTGGAGATCTTTTGGGGAGTTGGCCATTTACACGTGCAAAAGCTTTCTGGAGTCTGACCTTCAAAGCCACTTTCTGGGTCCCAGTTCCCACGAGATCTGTGCCTGCCTTGGAGCAGCTCTGCCTTCACTCTGGCTACCAAGGCAGTTCTGGCTTCCCAAGGTTTGTCAAGCTGCACCCGTTTCCACGGAGCTTACTACGGGCAGCTTCTCTCTCAAAACACAAAGACAGAGCCGCCCAGCAGCAAATAATCTGACGGGTCAGCTCTTGGGACACGGATGCCAGTTACGAGGTCAGCTGCCTTTGCTTGTGAAGCCAAGTGGCATCGTCAACCTATGAGGGAGCCATAACAGGGATTCCACTGGCATGGAGCCCTGTGCATCTCTCGTTGGCACGGTGGGTATAGTGTGCCACTATAGCCAAGATGCACACGTGAACTTGCTGCACAGAACATCCAGGGGCTCCTGTCATTCTCTTTTGTGCTCAGGAAAAATGGGAGGTTCAGGTTTGGGAAACACGCCCCTCCCTTGGTATTAGTCCTTTATTTCCCATCAAGTGCAGAGAACTCGTTTCACCCAACTATCTCAACCCCAATGCCAGCCTCAGAATAAACAAGCAAATGTGCTGAATTTTCCCAGTTTACTTCTGTTTCCATCATTTTTTGAGGTTGGTTCTCTCCCCTGGTCTGTTAAGTCCCTGGGGATTCTGCAACAGTCATGATGTCATGTTTGATTGATTTTGCTACAGAAGTATAGAAATATGGCTGCATCCTAAAAAGACGCTGTTAACAGTGACATATTTTAGCATTTTGAGATCACTTCCATAGCAATACAGCTTTAAAATGTAAAAAGGGACTTCAATCCACACCCAGCGCTGGAAGAGAAGAACGCCAGTTCTCCTCCCCTTCTGGGTGGCAGATATGGAAGGAATATTGGGAGCCTTTTTCTTCCAAAGGCAGCATAGGATGGCCGGATGAGAAACCCCTTTTTTGAACAGGCGCCTGAGCAGCATCCACTCGCAGCGCCGGGTCCCACCGAGGCAGCACATGGGGGCGTCCGCACACTAAGTTCCTCCCCGTTTGCAAAGCTCCCGACTGTCCCAGGGAAAAAGTTTGCAGCCACCGGCACCGATTCTGGCCGACCCAAAGAAGCCGTCCCAAAGGCGACGAACTCTTGCCGGGGAGGGAAACGCTTCGCCCTTCTTAAAGAACCGCTGCTTCCCCCCCCCCCCTTCCCTCCCCTTCTCCGTGGCTCAAGGCTTCTCCGCTGACTTGGCCCCCTCGGAAGAAGGCAGGCGATGCGGGGCTCCCGGGCGCGCCGCTTGCTCGGGACGGATGCTGGGGCGCTCTTACCTGCGCGGCTGTGGGCGAGGGTGGCGAGCAGGAGCAGCGCCAGGCTCCCGGGCCGCTTCAGCCAGCTCCGCCGTTTCCACCGGGTGTGCGTGTCCATGTCGGCGGCTGGTCCGGGCGAGGCGCAAAGTGGGACGGCGGCGCTCCGGGGCGGCTGCTCTGCCGACACCGGCAGGCGCTGCGGGAGGCTCTCGGACTAAGAAGCGGGCGGCTCCCTTCCCCTTCGCCCCCGGCAGGACCCTCCTAGGCGGCCATGGGCTGGGCGGCGGCGGCGGCGGCTGCTTCTCTCCCTGCGCAGCCTGCTGGCCCGGCGCGCGGCTGGGGAGGCTCGGGGGCTCGGCTGGCGCGGGGAAGGTCCGGGCGCTGCGCTGCCCCCTCGACGTCTCCTCCCGCCTCTCTCCTCCCGACCTCCTTCCGGGGCGCCGCTCGGCAAAGTGAGGTCGCCCCGCTTTCCTGCCCCGCCAAACTTTCGGGTCCCCCCCTCGCCCCCTCCCCTTTCCCCGCGTCAAGCCGACGGAGCCGAGCTGCCAATCCGGGGGGCCGCGGCCAATCGCGGCGAGGAAAGCCCCGGTCCCGCCTCCGCTCCGAAGGCGGGGGCGGAGGGCGCCACGAAGCTTTGCCTGTGTGGCAGGGGCGGCCGGCGCCCCCCCCCCCCCCGAGGGGGGGGGGGGGGGCCCCCCGAAACTTTTCCCTGGGGGGGGGGGGGGCCGGGCCCCCCCCCCCCCCCCCCCCCCCCCCCCCCCCCCCCCCCCCCCCCCCCCCCCCCCCCCCCCCCCC